GAAAGGTCCCCTCGCACGTGCAGGGGGGCTGGGGCGCACCTGCCCGCAAATGTCTGGGGCCCCACGTGTCATACCCAGCGTGAAGCTGCCCTGGGGGGTAAGGGGAGAGGGGGCTGTGCCGTGTCCGACGTGGGTGATCCTGGTGCCCAGGACCCGCCTGGGGGTGGGCGTTGGGAGAAGCGGCCAGAGGGAAGGGGAAAAAGCTGAGTCTGAGGCTGACTGACCAGGTGTGGTCGCGGGTGGTGGGGTCGCTCCGGCCGCCGCCCGTGCTGGCTCCCCTGTGAGGGTCAGTTGCCCACCTCCCTGGGCAGCCCGGCGGGTGTGGCCCTGCGGGTTGTCTGGTGCACGCTGCTGGCAGGAGGGCTGCCAGGAGCAGTGAAAACCGATGGTTCCAGGAGGACGCCCATCTGCCAGGTGCCTCAGGCCTTCATCCTTCCTATATTTTTCAGTACCAACCTGCTGTCATCTCCGCAGAGCTCAGAGCAAATCTGTCGGGGTGATGGGGGGAGGGGGCAAGGGGGGACAGAGCCTCCTGGACACAGCTGGCCCCTCCCGGACTGTGCTGGGCGCGGCTGGCTAGCCCAGGGGTTCGAGGTGCCTGCCCCTCACTGCGCCTCCAGGTGCTGCCTTCTCCCCTGTGGGCGGGGCCTCCCTCATCGCTCGTTAATCAGCGACCAGGGAGTTACTTCCTCCTCCCGGTGCCCGGTCAGCCCTGCGGTGCTGCCCGTGTCTCAGGTCCTGCAGGTGTAGGCGGTCGGAGATGCCCTCCACCTGTGTCCGGGCCAGCAGGGCGCTGAGCGCTTCGTGCGTGCGTTGTTTGGTTTGGGTCTCTCACATCCCCTGCAGCAGGTGTCGGTGCCTCCGCGCGTGGAGGTGCCGACGTTGCCCCCTCTGTCCATGTAGGCATCGAAATCGCCAAACAGAAGGGAGCAAGGTACCGGCTGGGCCCAGAGCTGGAAATATGGTGAGAGCAGAACTTGGGAACACGGGGGTGGGGGTGGGGGGCGCAGGGAGGTGCGCCTGGGCCACACCTGGACGCTCTGACTTGACCGGCCCGTGGGCTGCGTCCCCCTGTCCCCGCCTGACCTTCTGTCCCCTCCCTCGGCAGCGGCTACGGATGCTGGGATCACTATTACGAGTCGGACACCCTCTTGCATTCTCTGCAAGTCCTGGCTGCCCTCCTGGAGTCTCCAGTCACTCAGGACATCCTCTGCGACGTGGGGATGTAAGTGCCGATGACGGACCAGCTCAGAAAGAGGCCCACAGGTGGAGGCCACAGGTGGAGGCCACAGGTGGAGGCCCACAGGTGGAGGCCACAGGTGGAGGCTCACAGGTGCAGGCTCACAGGTGGAGGCCACGGGTGGATGCCCACAGGTGGAGGCCCATGGGTGGAGGCCACAGGTGGAGGTCACATGGGTGCAGGCCCACAGGTGCAGGCCCACAGGTGGAGGCTCACAGGTGGAGGCTCACAGGTGCAGGCTCACAGGTGGAGGCCACGGGTGGAGGCCACAGGTGGAGGTCACATGATGGGCCTGGCCTGGTGCTGTCCTAGTGTGGATCTGGGCCACACGTTTTAACAGCAGGTTGGTGGGCCCGGGGTTGCGTCTGTTTATGTCAGCTCCGCCTGTCTCCCGTGAACATGGCCGCCTTTGCTTCCCTCCCCCGGCATCTGCGTGCCTGCGTCCTCCCCCTCATCCTTGTTCTTGCTGTGACTGGCCACTGGGTCTCTCTGAAGCACACGGGAGGGGCTCAGTGTGTTTAGTGAGGCGCCCTCTCCCCGCAGGCCCGTGATGCACCGTAACGTCCGCTACAATTGCAGGGTGATATTTCTCAACAGGTGGGTGTCCGGGCTCCGGGCGGGGCTGTGATCCGTCCCCGGGGGCGTCCTGGGCACCAGGCAGGCAATGCCAGTGACGCTGCCTCTCCCGGCCCCTGCCCCCGACACGGCTCCTTGGGGAGTTAGAGACCGTGGGTGAGGATTGGGGAACTGGGCCCTGGAGAGGGAGGTCCGTCGCACAGGGGTGGGCTCCGTGACGGGCGGGCGGCCGTGGGCTGCCCTCGTGCCCGGGCCTGTGGTCTCAGGGGCACCCTGTCCCCTCCTGCAGGAGGATCCTGCTCATCAGACCCAAGATGGCCTTGGCCAATGAAGGGAACTACCGCGAGCTGCGCTGGTTCACCCCCTGGTCCAGGAGCCGGTGAGTCCCTGTCCGACGCGCAGGTGCGTCCTCCGGGGTCTGTGAGGCGTCTTCACCCGGAGGAGCCACCGTCCGGATCGTGGGGGAGACCACGGAATTCGGCCACAGCTCCGGCCCCAGCCCCTGGCATTTAGCTGCTGCTGATTAAGTGGCAGCCAGTTTGTCACAGGGCAGCACCCGTCCCCGGCCCCCACTCCCGGCCCATCTTGCGAGCCTGTGTGTCAGGGTCTCCCCGTGCCAGCCCTGCTGCTCGGGGCTGGACCGTGCTCCTGTGGGCTGTGCTCCCACGGGAAGTGTGCAGCTGCCTCCCTGGCCGCCCCTGACTTCCGTCCACTTGTGACAACCGGAAGGTCGCAGACATGAGGTCACATGTCCCTTGGGGCAAACGGGGTTGCAGGCTCAATTCCGCCCTGGTCAGGGGTGCGTGCGGGATGCAACCGATCGATGTGTCTCTCTCACATCGATGTGTCTCTCTCACATCGATGTTTCTCTCTCTGTCTCTCTCCCATCCACGCTCTCTAGAAATCAATGGAAAAATATCCTCGGGTGAGGATTAACCAAAACAATTAGGACTTAGGATTATTATATCAAATAAGGTTTAACCTTCTCATTGCAGTGTGAATAACGCACAACACAGTATGCAGTTTTAGGTGCTTAGCTTTGGGTGGTGGAGTGCATTGGTGCAGGCGGCACCCGCGGGCAGAGGGGACGATCCCGCCCCACCTCCTGCCCCGGGGGGTGGGGGGGCGGACCCTCCCAGCACGGGCTCCATCGCTGGGTCTCACGCGGAGTCATGCACGCGTGCTTCCCTGGCTGGCTCCTGGCAGGTGCTTGTGAGAGTCATCCAGTGGTTCATTCCTTTATACAGTTCAGCTACTTCGCTTTTTTATGGAAGAGCTAGAGGCCTGGTGCACAAAATTCGTGCACAGGGAGGATCCCTAGGCCTGGCCGGCAATCAAGGCTGACTGGGGCCTTCCTTCCCCAGTTGCTGGCTGCTGGCTGCTGGCCAGGGCCTTCCTTCGTTCCACACTGCCCCCTGGTGGACAGAGCAGGTCATAGCGAGCGATCGAACTCCGTCTCCTGGTTGAACTCCTGAGGGGACACTGCATATCAGCCTTTTATAGATCGATATATAGATTCGGTTTTAAACGTCACCAATAGCTCCGCGAGTCTGATAACAAGCCAGGCCCCCCTGCACTGCCCGGTGCCCGAGCCCTGCTCCCCGTCCGGTTCACTTGCTCCTGTCTCCAGGCACCTCGGGACTCGCTTCTGCATTTTTTTAAACATGTTTTTGTTGATTTCAGAGAGGAAGGGAGAGGGAGAGAGATGGCAGCGACCACGCGGCTCAGGCCCACGCTGTTTCCCTTGCAGGCAGACGGAGGAGTATTTCCTCCCTCGGGTGATCCAGGACGTGACCAAGCAGGTGAGGCCGGTGGGGGACCGTGTGGGGCGGGAGCCCTCCCGTCACAGTGGCAGGACCCCCATGAGCCCTGTCGGGCCATTTCTGACCCGGGGATGGGCTACTCCCTAGTGACAGGCCAAGGGCATAGGCGCATGGAGGAGGCAGAGAGCGCTCAGCGCCGGGTGGAGCCTGGAGGGACCCTGGACGAGTGGGAGCTGTTGTCATTGTAGCCGTGGTGACGCCCGGGGCCACTTGCAGAGCTGATCCCGTGCGCTCAGCCACATGAGCTCCAGGCAGCTCCCAGCTCGGCTCTGGCTCCGGCTCCGGCTCCGGCTCCGGCTCCGGCTAGTGACCCTGAGGGGCAGCAAGGAGGTGCCAGCTGTGCCAGCCCCTGGGCTGGGAGGGCTCCAAGCTGAGGGCGCATTAGGCCTCGAAGCAGAACGGTGGCCTCATGACGGTCCCCGGGGGATGCGGGGTCCTAGGGCAGCTCGCAGCCCAGACGGGTGGCCACGGCCTCCTGCTCTGTCCTGCCTGCAGGAAACCGTGCCCTTCGGCGACGCGGTGCTGGCCACGCGGGACACCTGCATAGGGAGTGAGATCTGCGA